GTACACTGGTGTTTACATAGCTCTCTCTTCTTGACTGTGAATGCCTTCAGAGCAGGGACTGTTTTATTTATTTGTACATTCTCACCTGTCTTTTGTCTATCAAAGTACCTGTTACTAGACCTTCAGTAACATTAAAATATTAAGTATATGAATGAATGAACATATGGGGACTTCAAGTGACCAAGGACACGTGAAATTAATTTTACTTATTTTATAAATGCACATTATTATATGAAATGTGCTTCTAAATTTTTATAAAAGTAAATAATGTATTTTGAAATGAGGTATTAGGCATTTTAATAACCATGCTTTTGCTATCTTAAAAACAAAACAAAAACTATTTTTCAATCTAATCAATTAAACTGGATTATAAAGTGATACAGAATTAAATTATTTTTTTATTTATAAAACTGTGTTATTACTATAGCAATATTGGTGTACAATCTGTAATTGCTTTTGTAGATATATTTATAATACAGATGCTAGTAGAAAAACACATACTTTTTCTCAAAATCTTCCTCTCTTTATTTCACTTTAGCCCAATATTTTATATTTGAAAATAAATGTAGATACACTGGCTTTTGAATTTCTGCATTTTTCCTTCATATTTTATAAGATTGTTCAATATGTATTTGTTGCTTTCTTGCTGTTCCATTGCTAATTTCATGGAGTTCCAGTATCAAATATGTAATCTAACTCCTAAAGAAAATAGTACATAAAGGTATTAGGACTACTGTATAATCATCAAATGTTTTCATATATATACGTATATATATATGAAATGTGCATTTATTTATACATCTTTAGTATGCATTTATCCATGTAGATGTACCTATATATAGCTACTATTGAAAGGTATGAAGTCTTTCATCAGTCTGTTTTAAAAATTGAAATGGCAAAATTCCACATGATAACATAGAAAACAACACAAAATAGCCTATACTATTTCTAAAATCAATACCATATTCTTGCCCTTTTTCATATAAAATTGCACAGAACAATTTTTATACTCATACTATAGAATTACTGAACCCCTTTTCCTAGAAAAAGGAAATAAGAGTAGATTTTGAGAAATCTTTTCCTCCCATTTTCTGCCAAGATGATTTTGACTGAGTATCTCAGCTCTTGGTGACAATAATGATAATGTGATTCTTCCATCTGGACTTATCCATGGGGAAAATGTCCCTAGGGAGAATCTTGAAAGGCTCATTATTCCAATATTACAAATATGAAAATTGAGGCAGAGAACAGTATAATTTTCTCAAATTCACACAAAACTCAGAAGTCAAGCCAGAAGTGGAACCCAACTCATGTGGAAAAGATCTAATGCAACAGGCAATGTCAAGCTTGCAAAGGTAATTAAAGTGAGTAGTATAATTACATAAATTACAGTACAGGAAAATAGTGTCATATTTACAAACCTAATTATATGAAGTAGGAGAATTACCTGAATGATAGTAATCATATGGATATGTTCACATATTTTATATGCTTTATTTTTTCTCTGGAATGTTTAAAAAGTAGGAGTTTGAAGTATAACAGAAACAAAATAATTAAAATTAAAAATACAATAAAAGAACAAACTAGAGCCAAACAAACCTCAAGTTTAAGTTTGGGCTCCACATTTACCCATCTGTGTAATCTTAGGCAAGTCACTTCACCTTTAAGTCTCAACTTCTTCATCTATAAAATAGAAATAATGTTTAAAATATCTTTAAAAACTGCACTATAAATAATGAATGAATAACATCAATTAGTATAGTTGCATAGCCCTAAGTAGGTACATTTGGCAATTAATTAATAATAAGACAAGCATATCCATCAGCTATTTTTAATCAATCTTCTTTTAATATATTTTGAGTTTTTCATCCGTTTCTTTCCCACATTGTCTTATTATTTGATTGTCAAATAGGTTAATAATATATGAATGGGTAATATATGATATAAGATTTCAGTTATGGTCTAATGGACCACTAAAAATTCAGAGTGAGAAATGTCTCCATTTAAATATTTTTTGGTTCAGGCAACTGAGGAAACTGTACTAGTTTTGATGGAGAATTATGATTTGAAGAACAGTAAAATAAAAGCATCTTTGGAAATGTATATTTGTATTTATTTCCCCTTTAACACTGTGCATTTACAGAAATGGAGATTGTTTCTAAAATGAAAATGGAGAATATTCAAAATATTCCTGGAGTAGAATAAAACAGAACTATCTGTTCCAGATGTAAAGACTTACTATGAGATTATAATAATTAGAACTGTGGTTTTGTCACAAGGATAGGAAAATTGAATGCATTAATAAAGCTGTACTTATATGGAAACTTCACTTGTGACAGAGTTAAAAACAGTGATCACTGGAAAAAGGGTAGATTATTTAATAAATGGTCCTAGAACAACTTGTTATCTATATGGAATAAAGTAAATTTAAATCTTCTTCACAATATATATGAAAATCAGTATTTCATAGATTACATGCTTCAATTTGAAATGCAAACCTTAAAACTCTTAGAAGAAGACATAGAAAAATTTCTTAATGTCCTCAGCAGAAAGAAGGTTTTTCATGAAGACATTAAACTGATAGGCATAACACAAAAAATAGAAAATTTGAGTATGTGAAATTTTAGAGTTTCTGATCATCACAGGACACTTTAAGAAATGAAAAAGACACACAATAAGTTGAGAAGCAGCCATTAGCAGCCAGTAGTAGCAGCCATTTAACCACAAAGCATTAAATTAGAATCCAGAACATATTCTATAAAGAATAAAATAAAATATAAAAATTAACATAAACCAAATATGTGGAGGTATTTTAGAAAAGAGGAAATGTAAATGGGCCATAAATATTTAAAGATAGTTTTCTTCATTAGTAATTGGGAAATGCAAAATAAGAACATGTTTATGTAACATATATAGTCATTGTATTAAAAAAAATAACCGATAACTCCAAATGTTGGCAAATGCATGGACCAATAAAAAACTCTTATACATTGGTCTATGGGGGTTAAATTGCTGCAACCTTGGAAAAAATTTACTGTCTTATCATGTTAAATTGAACATTCATACTACCGTGATCTACTAATGGAACTCCTGGGTGCACACTTACAGAAGTTCTATCACATGTTTATCAGAACACATATGCAAGAATATCTCAGCATCATTTATTTTTTTAAAAATAATTCAAGTGTCCATGGAGAGGAGAATAAAACTGTTGTATATTTACATAATGGAGTAGTATAAATCATTAAAAAATAAATTAATGCAGTCCCTCGAATCAATAGGGATAGGGCAAGAAGCCTTAGTTCAGAACATTCCATTTTGACAAGACTAAAAAACAATAAAAATTAAACAGTACTGTTTTTAGAGTCATATGTTCTGAAAGCTGTTTGTTTGCTTTAAATAAAGACTTGGGGATGACAAACACAAAATTCAGGCTTGTGGTAACTTTGAGTTGGGTAGACAGAGAAATGCAATATGAAAGGACACTGAGCCTAAAAAAAATGTATAGTGATAAGAAATGCAATGTGAAAATAAAAAAGTTCCTCCTAAAGAAGACAGTGAGCCCTGGCCAGGGGGTTCAGTTGGTTGGAGTGTCATTGTCCCATACACCAAAATGTTGCAGGGTCAATTCCAAGTCTGGGTACATACCTAGATTGCAGGTTCAGTCCATGGTCAGGGTGTATGCAGGAGGCAACTGACCAATGTTTCTCTCTCTCTCTCTCTCTCTCAAATCAATAAACTTATCTTCAAATAAGGATTTTAAAAAATGATGGTGAAATGATGCCAATATTTCTTATTTTTCTGGTTCTGATCATGAATGTGCATCTAATACATGTTTAAAATCATAGGTATATATAAACTATTAATTGAATTTGCCTAAAACATTGAATTTAGGCAAATTCAATTAATATTTTAGAAGGAAAACTTACCTCTACAAAGTTGATATCAATTATATAATATATAATCTCAGTATTAGCATTTAACAAATATGAGTGGAAATTTTTAATTTTTACCTTATTTTTAGGAAATAATTGGAATCACATATATACAAAGTAAAATAAAAGCATGGAAAGCAGAAGAAAAGAATAGTTTAGAAGAAGATGGACTTCCCTGGCTGGTGGGTCTCAGTGGATTGAGCTCTGGCCCAGAGCCAAAGGGTCGTGGATTGGATTCCCAGATCAGGGCACAGGCCTGGGTTTTTAGGCCAGGTCCCCAGTAGGGGGCGCGTGAGAGGCAATCACACATAGATGTTTCTCTCCCTCTTTCTTTCTCTGTCCCTTCCCCTCTGTCTAAAAATAAGTAAATCTTAAAAAAAGAAGAAGAAGGAGAAGGAGAAGATGGACCGACTTCGAAGTGGCATGCTCAAATAAAGTTTTGGGAATGCAGCAGCAGACTGCTGTGAACAGAACAACCTTTTAGACACAGCTGCAGCAGAAGCGATCTGAGCATGTTTTAAATTGGTTCCGTAATGGACCTAGATGCCATTGTTATGCCAAATAACTTGGGGGAGGGGGAAGATGTTTCACCAAGCTAGTTCCTAAAATGCTATAACTACGGATGATGGTACCAGGTGGGTACTGGAATTGTGATCACTTCATAAGGCATACACATGTAATCACTATGTTGTACACCTGAAACTAATGTAAGTGTAATTGAAAAATAAATTTAAAAAAATGTCAGCTCTAATTCATAGAAACTCTTTGTAAAGCCAAGTACTTGTGAGCAATCTAAAATGTTAGTTCTTTCTCATCTATTTTTATGTGGTGTGTCATGTAGTTGAAATGTAATATTTCATACGCACCTTCTGAAAGTTTCAAAATTATTCTCATGCACATGGGAACTGATTAAATTCAATGTTGGTTTGTTTTTTATATTCATTCTTTCCTAGTGTCTTTGTATAAGCCTTTGAGGAGCTATTTTTTCATGGACAACAGAAAAGGAGGAAAAATGCCTGCTTAATTTTCTTTCTTTTGCTTGTCTGTTCCTTTTCTTTATTAAAGGTGAAAGTCTGGTTCCAGAACAGGCGAATGAAGTGGAAGAGAGTAAAAGGGGGCCAGCAAGGAGCTGCAGCTCGAGAAAAGGAACTGGTGAATGTGAAAAAAGGAACACTTCTCCCTTCTGAGCTCTCGGGAATCGGCGCAGCCACCCTCCAGCAAACAGGGGACTCTCTAGCGAATGAAGACAGCCATGACAGTGACCACAGCTCAGAGCATGCACACTTATGATACACACAGAGGACCGGCTCCATTCTCAGGAAAGAAATGTTGTGATGGAAAGCCTTACTCAAACATCGTTTACACAGAGAGCTGACTATGACAGCGATTTTTAATATTATTAAATTCAGGCGTCTTGAGTCTGTTTCTCATGATTTATTGAGAGTGTTACGCTAAGTGCCACTTATTAAAGATGCTTCCACCGTGAAAATGGAGAAGGTGAACTTGCTTTGAATATTCCAGATGTGTTTGCTTTTGCTTGCACTGAAAATTCAATTGCTATCAAGAGCAAACTGTGAGACATTTTTATTCAACGTGCCTCCAGAATGAAGATGCAGAAGATGAACTTGCTTTGAACATTACAGATGTACAAGCTGATGTGTATGGCAGTGGGCAGGTATTTGCTTTTGCTTGCACTGACAATTAAATTGCTATCAAGAATAAATCATGAAACATTTTATCCTGAACAACCACAGTGCCTGAAATCACTCTTAAGTGGGAAAAATGTATTTTAACTCTGTATATATTACCCTTGAGTCATTTTCCTGTCTTCACTAAGTTTAGCAATACATTCATATTAGCTGATGAAATAGGCACTCATGATGACAAGCAGAAACAGCTTCTTGTCTTTTTATACATTTTGTCATCCCAGAAACAATCAGCACATGCTTACTTGTGTTCAAGTAGAGAAAATACATTAGAGTCTGATAGGACATATTCTTGTACCACAGACAAAACAAATCTTATGTTGCATTTCCTATCAACTGCTGCTAATACATTATTATAAGAGTTACCTAGCTCCTCAATTCTTCCTATCTTATAGCTTGAAAAAAATTAGGATCATAGGCAAATCAGTTACCTTGCAGAAAGAGCTTTATATGACAGACATTGTCTGATGTTATTACTATAAAATGTTAGCTGTTGTGAATATCATTTAATTTACAAGAAAAACGTTTTCCCCTCATTGGTGATGATGTTAGACAAGTTGCAAAACATACTGATTCCTCAAGTTGGTAAACAATGAAATTCTGAATGTCTTCAAATAAAATTCAGTAAAAACACATTATTTTTTCATATATGATGTAATCATGCAGAACAACAATCTTTGTGTTTTGTAAAAAAAATGTTTAATAAATGATCCTTTGTAAATAACTTTAGTCTCCCTACTGTGATTTCTTAAAGTTTTACAGGTTTCAATAAACATACTTAAGAAAGTGCCAAGTTTATCTGCACCAAATGATCATAAGTTGATGAATCATGTACATTTTTAGTTCTAAAATTTTTGGTTATAAAAATTAGTCCTGGGATAATCAAAGATCATATAAGTATGTATTGAGCCATTTCCCCAGTTTGAAGCATATGCCAAGTGGATTTCTTTGTGTTTTATTATATCAAAGATAAAAGTAGAAGAAAACATATTATTCACTAAAATGAGATGAATAAAAGTCACACATTTAAAAATGTATGTTTAATATATGTGAATTAATTGAATAACTAAGTCAAAATATCCAAGTTTGTCGATGTGAAAACAAGCTAAATAAACTAACGATAAGCTAAAACGATAACGATAACGATAAGCTATAACGATAACGATAACGATAAGCTAAAACTAACGATAAGCTAAATAAACTAACTAAACTAAGAACTACCATTCTTAGTACTGATGGACATTGCCAATAAAAACAGTCCAAGCTGATGTTAACATGTTATGTATCGCGCATGTTTGCACACACACTGGATACCTTAGTGCTACTTACAACTTTACAACATTGTTTTTCACTTGTTCCCTATTTTAACCAGAAATGTATTACAATATACAGCAGCTTTCTCTTCCCCCTAAATAATTAGAAATAGAAATAGAGAAAAATAGTTGGTAAACATTTCCAAAAACTCCATTATTCTATTTCATCTGCTTTAGAATATGATACTGATGAAAATAGATTCAGATGATTTTGATTTACTTAGTCTATCATGATATATAGACTGTATCCAAGAAAACAGATAGTTGCATCACATTTTCCTTTTGTGTAGTAAATTTTTTCATAGCAATTAGCAATATTTCTAAATTAACTTTGGAGGAAAGACTCTTCAGATTAACATCTTCCAGGCATAAAGCAGACATTCTTCTATCGATCACTTGAATGAATAAAAAGTATATTTGTACTGATGACATCTACTTGGGTGGACTGACTTTCTTAGTGTAGGATTTAAATTCAAAACATCTTGACAAATTGGAGAATTGGGAAAATATAAATTGAACTGAGTTCAATAAGGACAAAGTGGAGGGTAATTCATTTTGGCAGGAAAATAATTTCCAGAAATAAGAGGAAAGGACCTCTTAGGAGAAACTAAAGAGAGAGCCAAGGATTGTGGCCAAATAGAAAGATATATAAGAATTACAATTTAGTGTGATAAATGAAGTAGGAAAAAGTGGTTCTGAATAGATTGGACATTGAAGAAATGGGAGGCATTTGTATTCTGGACCGTGCCTTTATCAGAGAATTGTGAGCTCTTTTAAAATGAGGTAATGAAATCTAATTCCAGAGAACATGAAGAATCACCAGGTAGGACAGGTCACTTGCTGACCAAAAGGGGGCATCGTTTTATTCATAATAGATTAAAATTATCAACCCCGTAAGATGCTGGGGCACATTAGCGCAATGATAACAAATTTACAAGTAACCAAGCAGGTTAGGTTAAATTTTTAAAAGATTTTATTTATCTTTAGAGGGGAAGGGAAGGAGAGAGGGAGAGAAATATAAATATATGGTTGCCTCTCCTGCGCCCCCTGCTGGGAACTGGCCTGCAACCCAGGTATGTGCCCTGACTGGGAATTGAAACATGCTCCTCTGGTTTGCAGGCCCACGCTCAATCCACTGAGCTACACCAGCCAGGGCATGTTAGATTAATTTCAATTAGAACAACTTGCTATCATGTTGGAGTATATTAGTGTTTGTTCTCTATCTTAAAAGTGGTGCATAGGTTTGTTAGATAATACCTCAACATCCTTCTGGAATTACAGTCCTACAAAGAAATTGAAGATATACTTATATACTCTCAGGTTTAATTTACTCTAGAAATGACAGAATCTAAAGAACTGTTTTTATTCTACACAGGCATCCTGGCTTGTTATGGTATCTTTTTATATATTACCCTTTTCATATATCAATCATTCTGTCTCAGACCTTGTAGCTCTGTGGAAATTTATATAGCATAACAGTACCTTTCTCTGAAAATAGTATGGAATCTTGGTTAGAGTCATTTTTCCAGCAGGGTTTAGAGGGATGGACACCACAAAGTTTTTCCAAAAGCTGGTCCACATATTTTTAACTCATTATTAACATGACCCCAATTACCTCGTACTTCCCATATTTACCTAGGGTTGTCAGCCTGATTTTTCCTTCAGAGACCTAAAGCCTGAGTTTGCCATTTTGTTTTTTTAAAACAGACTAAATGCACCTAAAATAATCCCCACCGCCCTTTTAACACACTTGCAAATGACATTATATAAAATAAATGTGGGAATGACTTGTGAAATTTAATAAGGGCTTTCCTTTGGAGAATAGAGGGGTTAAAGTGCAGATAGAAAAACAAAGTAAATTATAAAAATACATATTTTATGTTTTTAATGCTACTGGTTTTCAAGAACGTTTTTAAAAATTACTGGCGTTCCTATATTGGCAAATGCTAATTTCTCCTCAGGGAAGTTTAGAGGAAACCTACAGAAGCTAAAATAAAATCAGTTCCGAGATGGCAGAGAATCCTGAGTTAGTGATGATGAGAAAGCCTTACTCAAAAATGTTTTATCCTGAATTTCTAAATATACTTGGACTGGTGAGTGTAATTAGTACTTGGATTCAAAGAGTAAGTCACTTATACTATGACCTATTTTCTAATAAAATGGTGTTAAAATAATGAATAGTTGAGATAAGTGGTATTTATTTAGGATGAGATGTTTAAAGTATCACATACAAATACTCAGCAGGCATAGTTTTTTTTAACCATTTGAGAAGTAAGTATGTTTTTATCAGCTGTTTTATTCTTCCAGTAATAAGTGATCTATAAATAAAAATAAATTCAGAGCTAGTGAGAATTTAGCATTTAGTTTGATATTCTAAACATTCTAATTCTTATGAGCATTGGTAATCTGTAGGATTGCGCTACAAATACTGTTAGAAAGCATGTGTTTGGTATGTTTGCTTAAAGCTGAGGAGAATATTGAAGAAGAGGCCCTCTTATGGCTGCCTCAGCATTTCTACATTCAGTTCTTGTAAAGTAATGCTACGAGTAGTGGACACAAGAACACAAATGGCCCCAGAATAAAAGATTGCCACACCAAACTCTGAAACCTAAATAATATGCACTTTGGCATTGAAATATGGCTTTCTTGATTTAAGTAAATCTCTATTATCATATATTTTTATAGTACTCTGATTTTGACATTTAAAATGGTTAAATATCTTGAGAGTACATTTAAGAGAGTAAACGTTTTCTTCTATATCTTATTTTTCTTCATAATTGCTAACTTTTATTCAAAATCAGCTTCAAACCACAATCACAGAAAAGTATAGAAAAATTTTGATTGCATCACAACTTATTCATCCAGCTCAGTAAGCCTCTATTAAAATATAGTTTACTTTTGTTAAGCATGGTTTTTCAGAAACAATTTCCAAAAGAGAATGAGTTTGCAAACATAAATCATTGTCACATCCGCTTCATGGAAGGGGCGATGCAGTGATTTGAGTGTATAGCAATGCCAAGTTTAGGTCGTACTTGATAGTTCTGTCCTTTGTATATGAAATTCACTGATGTAAACATGTACTTGCTTTAAGTGAAAGAGAAATCACAAAGTTTAGGAACAATTCTATTATCCTAGAATCATTTAAACATACATTATCATTTGCCATATGTGTAAATTATACTGATGGTTGAAAATATTAAATATTGTGCAATCTTTTATGTTTGATACAAATATACCATTTGAAAATATATCATTATCTGCCCAGTTTGATGAAATGTTAAACCCATACTATATATTTAAGGGTGAACTACTAATCCTAGGTAAATTATTTGTTTTGCTTTTACTTTTTTAGATCAGAGCTCAATTTTCTTTGGATTTGCCAACATTGGAATGCAGTAACACTTCAATGATCTCACATCTATATGATGTAAGAGAATGTTTTGGTATTTTAAAAAATATGGAAAACTGAACAGAGTAAATGTTGTTTCAAATTATAAAATTAAAAGAAATCTTTCTTAACCCAATTGCCCACCAATAGCTGCCTGGATAAAGAACATGCAGTACATTTATACAATGCAATATTATTCAGCCATAAAAAGAATGAAGTTTTACCTTTTGCAACCTTTTGTATAAGACAGATAGAGAAAGATAAATACATGATTTCACTTATATGTGGAATCTAAAGAATAAAATAAATGAACAGAACAGACTCATAGATATTGAGAACCAACTAAGGGTTGCCAGGTGGGAGGGGGATTGGGAGACTGGGTTAAAAAGGTGAAGAAATTAAGTAGTGCAAATTAGTAGTTACAAAATAGTCACAGGGATGAGAAGTCCATCATAGAGTCCACCATATGGTGGTAAAGTCTACCATATAGTCAATAATATTGTGATGATAATGTGTGATGCCAGGTAGGTAAATAGAATTATCAAGGTGATCAGTTCATAAATTACATAATTGTCTGACCATGATGCCGTACACTTGAAACTAATATAAAATAATATTAAGTGTCAATAAAAATAAAAATAAATATAAAATAAAAAGCAAATATAAAAATAAAATATATTTACCTATTCTCTAGAAAGGGGCAGATTGGCTCATGACATTACACATTTTATAAAAGCGACATCAACTTAATTTTTTTATAAGAACTCATCATATCTGAGTTCACTCCCCTTTCATTCAGGCCTTACATCCCCCCATCCCTCCACCTGGAATCCTCTCCCACTGATACATCTTCTACTTATTACTCCTCTCCTTTAGGTCTCCACTTCTGCACACAGGCAATCCATGAGCTTCTTAAGTAAAACAGCACCCACTGTCACGCTCTACCTCTTTAAGTGGTA